GTTCAGAATGGTTTGATCCCTATCCAGCTGAATTCCTGAGAGGAGACGAAATCCAGGTCTCCTACTCCTCCGCCATCTTGCTCCGCCCCCTCCAAATTGCGGCTTTTTAATTGAGAATGTCTTCTTGGTCTGGAGGAATAGAGTTCTGGAGTAAAGTAGCAGGTTCCCTTTTTAGTAGACACCTCCTGTCTGCTGCTGGAACACATCAATTGTATCCTCAGCCTCCATTTCCAACTGTGCAGGTGTGTCTGTTTCATTGATTGGCTGCCCATCAAATCGGAATCTGATCTGCCTCCTTGACAAACCCTGTCGTTCACAATAGGCTTTCATTAGTTTACTAAGTGGTGTATGCTTCTTAATCTTAAACTGTACCACAGAACCATCCTGCCCCGCCACCTTCAAATTAATATGATAGTTGTTCTCAGTCTTGACTCCTTCCATAGGCTTTTCGTCGGCCATGGTGAGTGCCAGAGTCTCCTCAGCTGCTGCTTCACATAAAACGTACCAGGTCCGCACCGAACAAGCACACAAGCAGCACCAGGAGCCGCAGAAACAACACACATATTTATATTGTAGAATTCTCCAAATCCTCACTGGTGTGAATAAAGTAGGAGTTGATTATTTTCCAGTGTTTCGTGCTTCACATTCCCTAGTTTGCCTGAGAGGTTGTGGGCTTGAGGTCTTATAGCACTTGGTTTATCTATTAACCAAGATGCTTTTGACCAAGACAACAATCCAAGGTCCAGCTGCAAGAACCAAGCCTCGTTGCTTCCTTAAATGTCAGAGAACAAGCTAAGAAAGGAAAGTATAACAGGTAAAGGTCAAAGTGGGAATGAGGCAAGACCATCTGGGTCTACTTCTTTGACCACTTGAGTTGCCTTGTGTTTTTGTTCCTGGATGTTGGCCAAATATCTGAAGAGTGAAATGGCTTAGCTCTGGGTAAAGCAAGAGTTGGGGCAGACACTGAGCCACTTGGTTTCACAGGAATATACATGATATATCTTTTTAAGGTTTGCAAATGGTGCTAGGAATCCTGTTTTGAGAGGTGTTCTCGCAGGAGAGTGGCACAGGATGTGTGGCCAAAGGCAGTCAGGAAACCTAAGTAGGAGACCAGAATGCAATGAAAAGAGGAACTCTCCATGCACCATCATTTACTGGCTGGATGACTCGGCAAGTTTTTAAATTTTTCTGTGCTTCAGTTTCCTAGAGATGGTAATTCCTACTTCATAGGTTTGTTGTGAAGATTCAATGAGTTCATTCATGAAAAGTGTTTTTAAAAGTATCTGGTACTAGTAAGTGGTCAATAAGTATTAGCATCATCAGGATCATTGTCTTTAAGAGGGTCACCCAAGTCCATCTATGACAAATCTCTTTCCATCAGTTGAAGTCTTTGAAGGTGGATGTTAGAGATTGTTGGGCTAAAAAGTCTCATTCTTTCCCAAGGATTGGATGTGAGAAGAGAAGAGAAGGGGGAAGGGAAAGACATTTTCAATCCTGTCCAAAGGAGGGCCACCTGTAGGGGCAACGAGCGACTGAGACAGACAGTGTGGAGTGGACTGCTGGAAAATTCCTATTGGAGGGAGGGAAGAAGTGGGGCGGGAGTGGCCAAAGAGAGAAAACATTTCACCTGTGTCACAGGAAGCACATATTCCCCTGGTGGTCTCTGAATAAACCATGAAAGTTCCCAAGAAGGAGAATCAATTTTCATCAATTGTCTGGCTCACATGTCATCATATGACAATGACAGGACCAGTCCAGTGAAATTTTGCTGCTCTTTTTCCCCAACTTCTCTCCCAGCTGCTTTGACTTCCAGAATGAGTCAGCAATCTTGATGGGGGTGGGGAACAGGGATGAGGAAGGAGGGGAGGGGATGAAGGGCACGAATAGGCAGATTCATGCTGCTTCCCCCAGCTTCCTGTTTTCAGAACCCTTCAGAGTTCAGAAAGGAGAATGTTTTACCTTAAAATCATGTTCAAATTTTTTGATTATTATATGATATTATGGACGTTTAGCTACTAAACTTAGACAAGTTTTCTAACTTAAGATGACTATAAGCCATGTTACTTTCTTCCTTCTTTCTTCTCTCCCTCCCTCCCTCTCTTTCTTCTTCTTTCCTTCCTTCCTTTTCAGAGTTATTAGAAAAAATCACAGGACTACCTAGTGCCTGAGTTTTCATCCTGGGGCAGAGGGCAAGTTTCCACATTGAATGCATCTTAACAGGAGAGTAGGAGGCCTGAAAATAAAGATGAGGACAGATTACATGACATAACTTCTCTTTGTTTAATATACTGGTTATTTTTAAAAGATTTATTTATTTATTTGAGAGAGAGAGAGAGGGTGTACTCCCGAGTGGGAGGAGGGGCAGAGGGAGAGACTTTCAAGCAGACTCCCCCCCTAAGCAAGGAGCCTGATGTGGGGCTCAATCCCAGGACACTGAGATCATGACCTGAGCTGAAATCCAGAGTAGGCTGCTTAACCGACTGAACCACCCAGGCACCCCGGGGATGAAATTTTTTAATGTCACTAAGAAAGAAGGATAATAAACCATGTGAAGACAGCTTTTCTTAACAGGATTATGCACATAAAGCCAATTGTCCACATTTGCACCACATTATTTTATTCTGGTGTCACTGCTAGTTTTGAAGGATTTATATTTGACAGATGGTACCTAATGCAGCTTTTTTCCCCCTCACCTATTGTGAAGAGGAAACCATTGCCAAGATTTCACAATATGAAAATTGCTCCTGTTTCCTAAAGGGCAAAAATGAATCACTTTCTTTCTGGATTCCGAACAAGTTGGGAGGGCTCAGAAAGACATTGCCGTGGTTTACTTGCCAGAGTGCTGACATTCAATGCTGCATGTATTTCTGGGAGAAGATTTCTTGTTGTCTCCCTAGAATAGCCAGCCAGTTCCTAATGTTAAAGTGTTAAAGTTGGAGTCAAGTCATTTTATACTGTATAGATCTCTGTGCGTGGAGTTACAAAAATTTAAAGTGTTTTTTAAAATAAAGCGTTTTGCAATGTGTACCAATTATTACTCTTCTACTCCTAATCTTAGCATTGTTAAGGAGTTCTTAGTTCATCTCCTGGTAGTTGAAGAAGGTAATAACTTGTTTTGAAAAAAAAGAGATTGAAACATCAACTCAGTTTACTCTTGTTTTATCCAAATTCTCATTTTTTAAGAGCAGTACAAAGTACTGCTTCCTTCAGAAGGCTTTCTTAATTTTCACTTTTAGCAACACATTACTCTTTTGGTATTGACTTTTATTTTCTCTCTAGTCTATTTTGTTCTCTTTGTCTAATTTATGTAGCATTGTCTTCTCAACATGTTTATATGCTTCATAATTTTGACTTAGATACTTATATCTATGATACAGATATCTGTGTACTATATTCTCATAACCTAGTACCATACCATACCAGGCATTTGGTAGGACCTCAGTGAGTCTGATTATGAGAGTGACATCTTTCTAGGGAATTAGAGTTAATGAGGAAACAGTTATTAATTAAATAGTTAGACTAAGGAAATAGTTCATAAGAACTGTTTGCCCTCTACTTCTGTTAAAGGGTCCCTCTCCCAGCCTCAATTCTGCCCCTTTTGATTCATCTGCCATGTGATGTCAGAGAACTTTTTTAAGCTGCACACCTGATTATGCCATGCCTCTGGTTAGTGGCTTCCCATGATCTTCAGGAGAAGAGTCAAAGTGTGTCATTGGCCCCCAGCGCTCTCTGTGATCTGAGTGCCTAGCACTCTCCCAGGTTCCTTCCACTCTTTCCAGCACACACTTCAGCCCCACCTCAGAGTCCTCCTGCAGTGACTGTACCAGAATTTACCTGGCCTCATTGGCTTTTCCCCCTCTATGAGAGGTTGAATTGTGTCCTCCATCCCCACTCATATGTTTAAGTCCTAACCCCAGTACCTTCAGAAGGTGGCTTTGTTTGAAAATAGTTTCACTGCAGGTGTGATTAAGTGAAGATGAAATCATACCTGAGGACAACAGGCCCCTAATCCAGTATGACCGGTGCCCTTGGAAAAAGGGAGAATTTGGACACAGACATGCAACCAGAAAGAGCATCATGTGAGGATTGCCGTGACGCTGTCACAAGTCCAGGAACCACCAGAAGCCAGAAGGCAGTGCCTTCAGAGGGAGCACGGCCCTGTTGACACCTTGATTTCAGACTGCAGCTTCCAGAACTATGAGACAATAAAGTTCTATTGTTCCCAGCCACCCGATTTGTGGCTCTTTGTTATGGCAGCCCTAGGAGACTAGGACACCTTCTTTACGCTCGGTGAACTCCTACCCACTGTTCCGTATTTGGCTCAACTGTCTCCTCTTTTGGAAGCTTCTTCTGACATCCCCACCCTCTCCTGCTGCTGAATTAGGAGTCCCTTCTGTCTCTTTCTTCACATCTTTTATATTTGACCATTGATTTCTTTGCTTGTGTCTCACCACGATCCGTGTCTTGTTCATCTCTTTGTTACAGCTCCTTGCTTCCACGTCTCAATACGTGTTATTGAACAAAGGATTTTTACCTTTTTGATGACTTTAGCAGCATCTCTATGGAGAAATATTTGTCTCAGAGGAATGTGGTGACATTAATTTTCTAGAGGGAAATCTAGAGGTATAAAAAGCTGGAGTGAAAATAAATGATCAAGGTTACCTAACATCTCTAGAGCCAAGAGCAGTCTTCCACATTTGGGATTTAATGTCAAAACATTTGGAGACTTCCAAAACCTCCCTTTTCAGATCTGTTTCATTAGCTAGAAATGGCTTCTCATCTGCATGGGGAAAGAATCCAGAAAAGAACAAATAAGAAGCATAGGAAACTATTAAAGTTAGGGAATTCTGAGAAATTTAAATGAAGATTCAGAATTTAGACCTATCTTCTAACGTGAACTCTTTTTACCTCATCCCAAGAAACCCACGGAAGAGTGTCAAAATTTATTTAGAATGCATGTGAGTATGCTTTTTTCCCCAGCTCTCACTAGTCTGAATTTAGTCAACAAATCTTTGTATATGGGAGCTAGAATTTAAGAATCCTAAAGTGGTCCAATTCCAGGCTCTGCTGACGATAATATTGATACAATCTGAGTCACAATTCTAGTGCCATCTCCTAATACAAATTAGTAAACTTTCCATGATTAGCCCTGGGTACCTAAGCATTTTTTGCTGTTGGTCTGTTGGCCTCAGGAAATTCACTGTGGACCTAGTTGAAAAACAAAATGGAAAAGAGTGGAAGGATCACATTTGTGTCATAAGCAAATCCTTTATAAATCATCAAGAGACTGCAGAGATGGCCACAAAGAGATTTTGTCAAGGGTTTTATACAACTAAAATCAATGCATCCACTTTATCTGTTTTGAGCATACTAGGGATGCAACTGGAGATGTCACTAAGAGTTAGAGCTGCTCAGAAACCTTTAAGGTGTCAATTGACCATATTTTTAGGTGCAGAAATATTACATGGACACACCACAGATTCACCAGTGATTTACTTTTAAAATCTGCAACAAATGGACCTGGGAATCTACA